TTCAGCAGTGGGCTTCTCATTTTGCTGCCAATCATCTCTCATCTTTTAAACACAATCAGCAGCTTTGGGAGGAATATATCCTCCATCTGTCTTCTTTTTGTCTTGATTTTGTCCCATATCTTTCATTAGCTGCATTTCCATTACAAATGTGCACAAAACTTTATAGAATAAACACAAATTTTAATTGCGGCGTCTCCAGAAGAAATACAATTAAAATCATGAATAAGTTTTTTTTCTTGATGTCATTAAAAAACATGCTGTGACATCATCATTGTACCTCTTCCTGCCATCTTCTTTGAGACTTGTGTGATGCGAAAAAAAAAAAACGGCTAAAAAAACCTTTGATCAAAAAAACGTGGCATTAAAAAAAAGAAAATGGCATGTTTCCATTAAGCAAATTTATTTTTGTAATTTGCACAATCATATGGTCCAAAGAAAAACATTTGTTCAGAGATTTGACTTGTTTCTATGCTAACCTCTGCTTGTGGTTGGCAGCTTCTCAGATTTGCTGGTTTTCAGTAAATTAGCTTCAGCATTTTATAATTTGCTAAAATTATAGGATAAAAAGATGGAGACTGTATTCCAACTACCGAGAAAATTTACTCAGACCTCAGATTTAGGAAAAGCCACATGGCTTTCCTCCTGCTTGTGGAAAATTGGAATAAGTCCTTACCTTTGAAAATTGCTTTGGCAGCCATTGAAGTCAAGTTGTCTGATCCAAATAAGTCTTGCTCAGGATGAACTCTTTGACAAGAACCACCACAAATCCTCTGTTGTCTTCTTGGATAGAATCTCTCAGTGAAAGTCAGAACCTCTAAGCAGTGATGGAGAAAGTACTGGAACACTGTCTAGGTTTGTAATTCTTCAGCGATAGTGGAATGGAGCAAGAGATGGAGAGCCAATTGCAGCCGCTCTTCTGGAATGTTGTGGTGAAAAAACGAGCTGAGCTAAAAAAGCAAAGTGATATTAACCTACTAAATGAACAAAATTACAGATAAAAGCAACTGAAATGAGAACTGAAAGGGGCAGTATGATGTAAAATTGACTTCTTTTAGCTTTATATTGGCAACCATTCAGCTCTACAAAATGCCTGGGTGGACCTAACCCCTCCTTCAAGGCACAGCTCCTCCTCAGAGCAGGAGGTTTCCAAGTTTCAGAGCTTCTGCAGAACGGCTTCCCCAGTCAGCCCCTTCAGACTAGCCAGCAGCAATTAGTAAACACTTGAAAACAACTGAGGGTAATATTGTTACCTGATTGTGCTTTAAAATGACTCTTTGTGGTTGGAAAATGCATAATGCAGCACAGGACAAGGCAAGATGCTCTGTCATCCAGGGCATTTTAGAACAGAACCGCTGCTTCTCTACATCAAATGGAGTCAGTTTGGAGATCCGGGGATCTGAACAGGATGCCTCTTTTTCCCTGGAGCAGACCTAGAAGCTGCTAGAGGGACAATATACTCTTTGGGAATGAGAACACCTTGGGATCCCTGAATGAGCTGGACAGTCAGAGATGTGTGGAGTTTCCTGCTGGACTTTTCCTCAGGAATCTGATCTGCAATATCTGTTAGACAGTGGATGGATAGAACTCTAAAACAAATTTAAAGCAAATGTAAAGCAAGCTATATTTGTAAATGTTTTATTCAAAGCCTGATTATTGGTGAGTCATGTCGGTTTTAGTTTTTTCATATATATATTCACTATTGGAAAACAGGCAGGAAACAGTTTTTAAGCAGAGAGAAACTCAAAAGTTCTTTCCAGAACAAATTCACAGCAATCTTTGTGTTTCCTGATTGACTGGAGCAAAGTGCTGTTTTCTGCTCCAGTATTAAAGTGATTACTTTCATTCTGTTGCGCCTTTTTCCATTCCTTCATTTCAACCACTTCTTCTCCTCCTCCAGTGTCTGATCAAAGGCTTCAGACAGTTTTCACTCCACTTCTATGCAGTAATGAACAAAAACAAAAACCCAGGAAGACAATTTCTTATTTTAGAAAACTTCAGAGGGATTCCCCGAATTATAAAAACACACAGAGATGACATTTTTTGAAGAATCTTATATTGCTTTTAATCCTTGAAGCGGTGAGAAAGAAAAGCAGGGTGATCTCAACAAATTGTCCTTTTGTTAAACAGGTTCCAGAGGACAAATTACTCTGCAGCTTCCCACTATTATTACTGCATTCAGCAAAGAGAGAACTAAATGCAAAGTATTAGTTCTGTTAGTCTTAAAAATCTAAAAGCTGAATTGACATTTTTATTGCACTTTCATCTTTTAATTGCTTTCTAGTCGTATCTATGTAACCTCTTCACATCTTCCTCCCTTCATTGTTTAGATGTTTGCTTAAAAGAGAATTACTCTGGTTGTGTGGTGGCATAGCTGTTGTTAACACTGTTGTCTTGTGGCAACAAGGTTCTCATTTTCTCCATGAATTCCAGTTTCCCTCCACAGTTTGATAAAAATGCTTGGTAAATTTGTGGGAAACTCTAAATTGTTCTAAAGCCGTGTGTAAAAGATATGTGCAGGAAAACAAAGGAAAGACGTTAGAATAAGAAAAATCCTTTATCTTTGCATAAAACAAGATCTGCATATGTACAACAGCTGATGTCACCTCATATTTTAATATTGTCCGACAGAAAATTTAAAATAGTATAACAATAAATCAGTTTTGATCGACCTGATTCTCCTCTTACCTTGCAAATACACTGCCATTTAAAAAAAAATGTAATTAGTTTCTTGACAATCCATATTTTTAAAATAATACATAACAGAATGTCAATAATTGACTGGGTGCTGAGAGGAAGCACTAACTTGGATATGTAAAATATGAGGATAGCATCATTTTTTGAATTTTTGCAGATGTTTTCTGATCTTTCTGAATAAGAGAGCCTTAGACAGAACGGTGCAGTCAGTGAAAAATATAATCCCAGCCCAGCCGCAGATTGCCAGAAGTTAGTAGGTTTGGTCTTCTTGCGTGACTTCTATTCTGCGTGGAACAAAATACATCGTTTACCTATATTATTGATAGGCTATTGACTCCTGCTGTGTACATTTTCTTATTTTGGAATTTTCTATGAAGAATAATTTTCTCTTCACCTTCATTTTTTATTTATTTGCTTCCCTCTCATACATTTCTCCAAACCAGCCTCATTTCCAAAAAACTAAAAACTAAAAATCTTAAATTAATGACAGAAATGTAAAAGTGTGAATTATTTATAAAGCATTAGGAGTTTATCATGAAGATAATCCTGCAGAAATGTACTTTAAAGTGCCATACGTTGCTGTCCTTTTGTTTTTTTCTGTTGTATCTCAGCAAACTGCTGTTCCAAAATATCCACCTTTCATGCTGAAGTAAACAGGCTTATGGCCTGGTACAAAGCAAATGTTTTGGTCTCCATAGCTGTCACTTTGTATGACAGAGAAGTGCTGTGGCAGCTACCCAATGCTCCGCTTACATGTCAGTCTTGTGTCTGGAAATCCAAGATGGCAGCAGCCAAAGGACAAACTCAAGACTTCAAAACAGCAGTCCACAAGCTAGTGGCTGATGTCACATGGCTTATATCGGACTCCCTTATGCATTTTGTGACAGTGAAAGAGGTTAAAACTATATAGTAATATGTTTTACATATCCCATTGTGCTGTTTTGTGAAATCACACTTATTCAGATACATGTTTTATGCCAGTTTTGGGAACGATCTTGCCGCCAGTTGCTGGTGTTTCTCTGCTATTATACTTCAGCTGGCAAGTAAAACTGCCACAGCGGTTGTGTTCAGCTGACACACATCATTCTCCATCAAAGTATCAGTGAATAATGGAAGGACAGCACTGCTGTAAATTGCACCTCTACAGCTGTTTTACTGAGATGCCACCATCGGACCGAAGACTGTATCTAGAAACATTGAATATTTAATAAATGCAATGCCCTGCAAATACATTCCTGCTCTGTCATGTCACTCTGTCACTCTGAGAATTAAATATCTCAAACAAAATATTTCTATAGATTCAGAGCCTTACAAACAATATATCATACTAAATCTTATTTTGGAAAAAGAAAATGTTAAAGTTTGTGCCCAGAATAAAACGACCATGTTCTCTTTTATTATAGCCAGTTTGTGTAAAGAGTTACTGCTAAGGCTTCATTGATACCTTGCACTGATTTTGCCTTAATAATACATTTTCTCTGTTTTTCCATTATTGGGAATTGCTATTAAATCAATGAGTCAGCCATATATTTAATGATTGTGGTAATAATTTTAAATGTCTCTAAATGCAGCAATTTGAGAGCTAAGCAGCTTTTTTGCTAAATACATAAATCACTTTGTCATCTTTACCATATAAATCTTGACCTGAATCTGATTTTTGGGTGTTGAATGCAGGGGTGGAAATTAATAATTGATAGCATTTAAAAATATTTTAAAAATGGCTTGACACATCTTTAATAAATACTGTCAGGGAGAGTTGTTGCCAAAATTTGGAAATGTTCAACATATAATCAAGAATGTTAGGGTTGTATAGTTAAAGTTTGCTGTTAGTAATGACTTTAGTTAAGTAATTACAACCCTGTTAATGTGTCAAATTATTCTGTATATGTACATCTGCCTGGCGAACTTATTGTTTTTATAAAGTTCAGAATAAATTATGTATTTTATGTCATTTGCTTGTACTGGTGGGGTTTGTGATTGAAAGAAAACAAAACAGTGTCCGAGTGAAAGGTAAAAAATGTGGCTGGTGGAGAAAAATTTTAATTTCCACCCCTGGTTGATTGAAAGTTAGAGATGATCATATCTGATCAGTTAACCCACATACAGAAAAAGGTCTCGTCTCCTCTCCTCACCATCTGTAGACCCATTCTTTCAGAGGGCGGGCCTCCCACTGTCACTCACGTCAGCCCGGCGTCCTGATTGGTCTCTCTCCTCCGAGGGGCCAGTGGGCGGTGCGATGGAGCCACATGGAGCCAGCCTGACGCATCTGTGTCCGTTAGTCTGTTCCATCCTCCGGAGGAGTCAACCCAGAGAGTGTGGAACACTTTGGCGCATCATCAGCATCTAAATGCTATAACTTTCTTTTTGCACTCCAGAATATATTTTTCGTCTCTGTTCTTTCTATTCATGCGTCCTTCGTGTCTACAAGAAACTTTGGGAAATAGGACCAGTTTGATCCGTGCGTAAAAGTCCTTGTTGGGTGATTTATCCAGAGAGGACTGTCGGATTCCGTCCTGCGCTCTAGATGGAGGTTTCTTATCCGCTATGACAGCGAATCTAGGTCTTTTTGAGCTTTTAAAAGGAATAATTTAATAATCTTATCTAAAAACATTTCTGTTTCGTCTAGAAAGATAATTCCTTTTTTTAAAGTGGATCTATGTGAGAGAGGTGCCCGTTTTCGTGGCTCCCGTGGACATTTTGCTGTCTTTTGTAAGTAAAAGTGTTTTAATGGAAACATGAACAAAGGTGCAAGAGAAGCGGTTCTCCTGAACACCTTCCACCTGCTCCTTCTCCTGCTGCTGGTTTATGCTCCGCCGGCGAGTCTCTCCGCGCAGCGCAGGCATCCAGCGCGCTACTTTGGCCACATCGCCGAGAACTCCCCGGCTGGATCGCCCGTCGATGGGGTCTCAATCCCGCTGGAAGCCGGAGTCTGCGCCGGTGCAAATCTTGACGGCAGCCTGTACGGAAATTATCCCTCTGATTTCCGGATCGTTTACGACTCTGAGCATCGGGACAGTTTGATTCTGGTGTCCGCCAAACCGTTGGACCGAGAGTTTATAGCGATGTACGAGTTGACGGTGGAACTGCCGCCCAAGTGCCAGACGAGACCGGCGGTCGTCCAGGTTGAAGTGTCCGACAGGAATGATAACATCCCCCAGTTCGTCAGCGGGAATAAAACGGTGGAAGCGGATGAGCTGGCGCCGATTGGAACTGTCTTGGCTCGCTTTGACGCAAAAGACGGCGACGCGGAGAGAAATGGACGCACGACTTTTTACGCATCACCACAGTCCCGTTTGCTTCACGTGGTGCCACAAACCGGCCAGGTGAGGCTCGTCGGGTCGCTGTTGGGGGTCAAGCAGCTCACCCTGCGGCTTTACGTGAAGGACGGCGGGGACGTGGCGCTGATCGGTGACCCGGTGTTCCTTCGCGTCGACGTTCGCGGCTCCGGCAGAGCGCGGCGCAGACCCCGTGCTCTGTCCGAGGATCTGAGCTACACAGTGACCGTACCGGATCACATCAGAGTGGGTGACCTGGTGTTCACTGTGCCGGACCAGAGGTTCGACCAGCGGTGGTTCGAGGTGATATCCGAGGCCGACTCGCCAGTACAGATCGAAAGGGACTCCGGGCGCTTGTACCTTGCGCGCAGTCTGCGGGAGCCAGCGGAGGTGGTGGTGAAGATCCAGAATCTTCGAGGTAAGACGCAGAGCCTCCATTCGTCCTTGCGTAGAGACGCAAAAGTGGCTTTACAAGATCGATTCAAGCTGCTGTTTGGTTTCTGGCTCAGTTGGTTCTGTACTTAAGATCATGAACAGTACTTTTATTGTTGGGATCTAATTATTTCGAAAGTTTGTTTGCGCAAAAAATATGACAATAAATGTTTTTCAGCTGATTTTCGACAAGTGATTTATCATAAATAACTTTTAACACCCCACTTTTGTTTACAGTGTAAATTAAGAGCAATTCAATCATTTTTTTTTATTTAAAAAATGTGTCTGACTTCATTCCCCAAGAGAACATCTTAATTGAATGAAAATAAGTGTAAACCTAAATCTGCTAAAGGTTTGAATAATTCTGGGCCTGTATAACAAGCAAACATCGGCCACTTTGTTAGGTACACCTGCTGCGGATCTTACCACCACAGAGAGCGACCAGGTCATTCTGAAAACCAAGAGAACAACAGTAACATCAGGCCACTGGTCATTAATGATCAAACAACACAAATTCAAATCAGTTCAGAATCGTGGATAGAGATCGGATCATTTTGACACTTTATTGATTTCAGCTCAGAGCCTGAAGCCCGTTTGACTCGTTGAATGAAGCACCAGCAGGGCGCGTTGAAGCGGGTTCATCTCCAAGACCAGAAACAAAACATGCGTCCAGCTTTGGCTTGTTCTTGCTCTCTTTTTTCCATCCGTCTCACTTTACTGCTCCATGAAGCTCCATTCATCATAACCTAGACCTTAGAAATGCTCTGTCTAGTTTGCCATCTGTTGCCAAATGACTGATGATAATGTTGGTGGACCGTTGGTCAGCCCCTGGTCAGAAGTGAGAGGAAATGGACAGACATGAGGAATATGACCACTCTGAAAAGCTCTTTAGAGTCATTGTTGTTCATATTTTGGGTTTCACGCAGCTTCAGAAAGTTTCCTTTCACAGTGCTGTGCAGATTTTCCTATGTTGAGAAGTGAGAAGTGTTCATTCATCAGTGTGTGTGTGTGTAACAGCCCATGTGTTGGCTCTTCTCCAGCAGTTTGAATTGACCCCAACCGTCAACGGCTACTTTTCTGCTCTTTCATTCATTCTTCACAACACTCCACAGATCCCTGCCAAGTGTGTGTGTGTGAGAGAATAAAGGGAGTGTGTTAGGTTGTGTGTGCTGCCAGCAGACTGTTAAAGGACAAACAGTGTTTAGTTTGTAGGGTGTGAGCAAGCACACCCCAAAACACTTCACACACAGATTCTAGTTTTCCAGTTAGGAGAGGAAAAGACACACACACGTCGCTCCAGAAGCTTTCATTGAAGCTGAATATTCAGATGGTTAAAGGCTCCTGATAGAGGGAAGGATGTGTTTTTGCTGCATGTTTGACTTCTGCAATGCAGCAGGAACTCATTTGCATTGTTAACTCCACTCAATCTAAACAACAAATTAAGTTATGAAGCACTTATCTCATCCGCCAGTGTTTATTGGAACTCGGATGGAGAGTGGGTGGTTTTTCTTTTTCATTCTTCAGTGAAAACATTCTTATTATATCACATACAGTATGTATAACCTTTGGCATTCAGCTCATATAACCAGGAATAAAAATCCTTTTCTTAAGCATATCACCAGGTTTTTATTTTATTTATTTTATATTTTATGAATTATCAGCTGTAACCATAAGTAGCTGATATGAGCGTCATACTCCATAAAAATGAAACATATTTCCAGTGTTCACTAGTAGTTTCCTACTAGTCCTTTCGTTTCCATTCAATTGCCTGTAATAAAATTACATTTTTAAAATTAAAACAGTTACACTCAGATAAATAAGGCTAGGTGAGCTGATCAAAAGATCATAATGATCAGAATATTTCCAGGAAATAATCATGGTAACATTCCAACATTGGCCTTTTTTCAGAGCATTAATAATCACAGTTAACCATTTTAGACGTATGAAATGTAAAGTTTCTGATGAGGTTCATGTTAAATTGAACCTCATCAGTCTGAAGAGCATATTCTCTTCAGTTTATTCTGTATAATGACAAATATACTCAGCATGGAGCACAGCTTTTAAAGAACACTATAGCTTTTGTTGGCTCATTTTGCATCATTAGATGTTGAACTAAGACAGGAAACCAACGAGTCTCATCTAAACTGGACAGGAACAGATCAGAAAAACTAACAACTCCATTTCAACAGAAGCACTGGAGTTTGATTTTCATATAATCAATACGAAAGAGATGATTTAGGCAAATTTCCTCAGCTTTGGTGGATTGGTATCTGTGAACAAATGCTCTCCTAAATGACAAGGGATGGTAGTTTTACATTACTTCGTGTAATGAGAGCCCTTCATAAACTAGTGTTTGTTAATTATAGTCTTAGGTTTTAGATAACAGTAATTTATTCTGTTAAAAATATACTTCCTGGATATTTGTTTTAGTTGTCTAGAAGTTTGGTTCTTGGAGAGGTTAATTTATTGAAAGTTTTGTCAACTTTACATGTAGAGTCATTAATTTTGCTCAGTCTTGTTTTCATCGTCTTTACGCCCACATTCCTCCAGTTTTGAACCTTTTCTTCTTGGTCATAAAACTTTTGGTCTTTTGATCTTTTGTATTTCACATGTAAAGGAGAAAGATTAATGAAATTGAGAATTATATCCATTATGATTCATCAACATATTTTATTTGACCATTTATGAATGAAAGTTGTGGTCAGAAGTTGCATGATGAATCGATTATTTAAATAATTGTCAACTAATTTAGTAATCAGTTAATCATTAACTTGAATAAACAGATTTTGAAAATAACCATTTTCAGAAAGAACAGCATATTCAAAGCAGTCATTAAGCCAAAGCTTTATAATAAATGTATGCATTTTGCATTTATGATCAGTTAATTGACAAACTAGTTAACAGATCAGCCTGATTGATGTATTGATAAGTCAAGCAGAAAGCATCTTTTTATCATCCTTTGCGACTAACGGGCACTAAAGAAATGCTGTTATTTCATTGTAGGCAAAAAAATGTGTGTTTTTTATTTTATTAGTATGTTTCAATGTGATTTTAAAATAGCATAAAAAAGGCTTAAGTGGTTAAATCACAAGAACAATTAATAGATTAATCAATTACTAAAATAATCTTTATTTGCAGGTTTTGTCCTGAATCACTTAAGATTAACGTTTACAATATAATATGCATGCTTTCCAAATCATTTGGTTTACTGTGGTGATGTCTAAAGAAATATTTCAACTTTTAAATCAAACTTCTGTGCATTGCCTTGAAAAAAATCTGATTGTCTGTCCATCACAATAAATAGTCAAAGTTTGGGATAATTAAAACAAATCGAGGGAAATATTTGGGAGCAGCGTTAATCAGAGCTGCTGGCCAACATTCAGTCAGTCTGAAATGTGCTGATGGCCAGCAGCTCTGATCTGGTTGACGGGTTGAAATGCCATCCAGATGCTGCTGTGACCCCCTCACACTCAACCTAAAGTAAATGTTTAACCAAGAGCCTAAAGTCCTCACATCTGGACAGCCATGGTGGCAGCTTGATGTTCTGGTGAGGTCTGGCTAATCAGTCAATCCAAACAGCATCTTTGGTATTTATTTGTAAAAATTAGTTGTGTTTGCTCACCTGGAGCTCTCCCAGGTCTGAACACATGGACAGCAGCAGAACCAGAGCTGGACAGGAAGCTGTGTTTGTGTTAAACAGAACGACAGGGCCCAGGTTGGCTGCGGTTTGTGGCCACAGATGAAGAGAGTGGGATTTGGGCGTAGCGGGCTGTAAACTGTCCGGCTGATTGAGACGGCCTGTCTTTCGTCGGCAGTGGTGGAGATTTAGATGTGTGGGAACAAACTCTGAGGAGCAAACGTCTGCTTTGAATTGTCTTCAGGCATTCAGTGAGAAACATCAGGCCGAACTTTGGACATCAGTCACTAACTTATTGTCATTTTGGCCAATAAAAACATATTTTCATATCAGTATCATTCTCCTTCATATTCATCTGCTCTAATCACTTGCATTCATGCAGGCCTCTTAGTTATTTAAAAAATCAATCTGAATCTTGTGCATCACCGCAGATGGAAATGACTGTACTGATTCTTGACTCTGGACATTAAAAAAATTAAAACAATTAGTCTGTTTTTGGTTTTAAGTGAGCCTTAAATATTATTTATTACCTTAACACATTAGTATTTTAATAGGGGCAAACTGTTTGTGGGTCAAACAAACAGTGTTTAATAACTACTTTAGGTTATTTTCAAAAGGAACTTTTATCCCAATTAATGAGCGGATAATTTAATTTATTGATTTTAATAGAATAATTCAGTTTTGTTAGCTGTGCACTTAAAAATATGCTATATTTGTTAACAAATGATCATGCAAAACTGCAATACATTCAAAGGAGTTTGAAGCTTTTAAAGATAGAAAAATGAAAAGTTTTGAATTCTGCTTTGAAAGTCAGAAACTATTGGAAACATTCAAATCCATGTAGCTGAGCTCATGTTAATGATTTTAAAGTGTTTTTCTTTTATTTGGACAGAAAGCGTTTTGCCTTGTTTTAGCTGCATTGATCAGGCTTCACACAGTCTACCAGTGTAAAAACCTTGATCTACTTCAGATAATAGACTGTGTACCGACACTAATGAACTATTAGAGATGTGTGAAAAAGTCCAATCTGCCTCTTTGACGTCTAACTTCACTCAACTGTATTGTATTGAAACAGACTACAGTTTTATTAAGGTCAAAACTAAACTTCAAGACAAACTGAGTGAGTTTAGACGTCCAAATACAAAACAATGAAGAGATTTTCCTGTAATTAAGCAACTATACAAATATAAATAATTATGCTTATGATGGCTGCTGTGAAGTTTTGCACTGTTGTTTTAGATGTAATGGTCATGTCGAATCATTTTCCAAATTCCGAAGCCTTTATTTCTGTTTACCCGCTTCTCACTAATATATGAAACACAAAGTTAAGCATTTGAAGTTGTCTGAAG